TTAGGGTTCCACGGTTTAGGGTTTAGGGTCTAGGGTTTAGGGTTTAGGGTTCAGGGTTTAGGGTTTAGGGGTTCAGGGTTCCCGTTGACCACGGCTGACGGAAGCAGAGGCCGGGGGCTGCCTGCCAGACAAAGTGCACGGACCTTCAAGGCAAAGAGAGTTCCTTGAGCTGTGGCCGGCTGGCATGGTTTAGGGTTTAGGGTTTAGGGTTTAGGGTTTAGGGTTTAGGGTTTAGGGTTTTGGGTTTAGGGGTTGCTTTTCTGTCTGGTGCCTAGTAGGGAATGTGGGAATGGATCCCTATGATAGTCCCTCAAGGTCCCTTAGAGTTCCTGAGCTGAGGCTGGCATACGGTTCCTTCTTAAGGGCTCTATCGGTTTAGGGCTCAGGGGTTCTATAATGACGGCGGTCAGGGGTTCTAGAATGACGGCGGTTCCTTTTTAAGGGCTCTAAAGTTTTAGGGCTTAGGGGTTCTATAATGACGGCGGTCCCTTTTTAAGGGCTCTGAAGGTTTAGGGCTTAGGGGTTATATAATGACGGCGGTTCCTTTTTAAGGGCTCTAAAGGTTTAGGGCTCAGGGGTTATATACTGACGGCGGTTCCTTTTTAAGGGCTCTAAAGGCTTTTAGGGCTTAGGGGTTATATAATGACGGCGGTTCCTTTTTAAGGGCTCTAAAGGTTTAGGGCTCAGGGGTTATATACTGACGGCGGTTCCTTTTTAAGGGCTCTAAAGGCTTTTAGGGCTTAAGGGGGTCATATAATGACGGCGGTTCCTTTTTAAGGGCTCTAAAGGCTTTTAGGGCTTAGGGGTTCTATAATGACGGCGGTTCCTTTTTAAGGGCTCTAACAGTCTAGGGATTAGGGGTTCTATAATGACGGCGGTTCCCTTTTAAGGGCTCGAAAGGCTTAGGGCTCAAGGGGGTTACAAAATGACGGCGGTTCCTTTTTAAGGGTTCTAATGGTTTAGGGCTTAGGGGTTCTATAATGACGGCTTTAGAATGCCGGCGTTGGGGCCCAAGGTTTAGCAAAGGGCCGTGATAATCAGAATCGGGGTTAAGGCACCTGATATCATAATAGTCTAAGGACTAGAAACGGAGGCTATACTACTTTCGAGGTATATTACAGGAGAGTTATATATGGACTATGAGGGGATAGTGTTTCTTTTCTTTACGATCTCTATGCTTACTTCCCGCATGCTCATAGGGTATCAAGTTGAAGCCTTTGCTCACAAGAGCCGAAAAGTTTGGAAGTTGGGTTTTCGACCAGTGACTTTCATTGCTTTCTCGAGCACATCTACGTCCTAAACGCTGAAGACATCTGAACCCTAAACCCTAAACCCTTCTATCAGACAGGCTCTGTTGTATCCGAGGCACTCATGGCAAAGCCGGAGGCAGGAGACACAAACAACTCCACTGCGGGCCTGGCGGTCAGTTTAGGGCTTGCAGCCGATAACTTATAGGGTTTAACTAAGCTTGCTGATGCCTAGACCCTAAACCCTAAACCCTACACCCTAAACCCCTAAACCCTAAACCCTAGGCGCAAAGATTCTTTGATTAGGGCTTGGGGCTTGAGGGGTGATACAGACCCGCTAATTCACGAAACCTCCCGCATGTCCGGGAACAGTTCCTCTCTGAGCCCAGAAACCAAGAGCTTGAAAACTCTCCTGGCGCTTGAACCTCAAAGCCTTGAAATGCCCAAAACAGGATCAACCAGAGCCTACCACCTGAATAGTTAATTGTCCATGGCTTAGGCTTAGAACTTAGAGAATTTTCCTCCTGTCAAACACGCTACGCACCGAAAACCCAAACCCTGAAACCCAACAATCGGAAACCTCAAACTCCCTCTGAGACGTCCACGGGAGCACTCGCGTCACAGGAGCGCTATCGTATGCCCAGACCTCGTCTGGTAGATGGACAGTCTAAGGCTAGAAATACCCTAAACCCTAAACCCTAAACCCTAAACCCCTAAACCTTAAGTATGGGCCCCTAATATGGACCCTCAGGCCTCTCTAGGGACCCTTATAGGGTACATATAGGGTGTGTAGTAGGTGTATAAGGATCCCAGGGTTAAGGGCCCATACTCGGGGCCCATGGTTTCAACCTTAGACAGGGCAAAGACTGCTAGCACTGTTGGCTTCAAGAACTACTAGACTACGTCTCTGACATGCATGCGCGTGTCTGCGTTGTATGTGTGCCTCTGTGTCTATGTACGTGTATATATACATCTATATATATATATATATATATATGTACCACTATACACCTACTCCGTGACGTATGAAGTTGTTTATGTACTTATGTATTGAAGTCAATGGCTTTTCGAAACCTATCTGTACACGAGCTTGCCTTTGCATTCATAAACTGGCTGACGCATGGCAACCTGTACTAGGTGTCCATACGCTTACGCATGCAAGTAGCTTGGATACTTGTTTACTCAACTCTGGCCTCTGCATATACACGGGTTATACATGTATACTATACCCATACATACACCCTAAACCCTAAACCCTAAACCCGAAAGCCTAAACCCTAAACCCTAAACACCATCAACCCGAAACCCAAGGTGTTTGTCATCTTGGCCCTGATGAAAAGCCGATGCGGGGCCCGGGCATCGGGTGGCAAAGAGAGCGAGGACGGAATTGATGCATCCAGGTCTCAGCATCAAAGGGCTTATGGTTTGGGTTTTGGGTTTGCCTTGATGCCAGCTGACATCGAAGCCCACTCTAAACCCTAAACCCTAAACCCTCTGAAGCTTGTTCGCGTTTAGGGTGGGGTTTCGGGTTTTCAGGCCTAAACCCTAAACCCTAAACCCTAAACCCTAAAGAACCGTTAGGATCTTTGGGTCTCGGGCTTTCGGGTTTCAGGGGTCAGCATCGCACTCATAGCGAGTCAGAAAAACCCAGGGAAAGCTGAGACAGGTTTAGGGTTTAGGGTTTAGGGTTTAAGGTTTAGGGATGAGACATGGGCGCATAATGTAGGAGCCTTAATAATTAGAATAGGGTTTGGGGGGTATTTTATACTACAATTATACGGGAGCCCCCAAAGCCCTATCATACTCATTAAGGCCCCTACATTCTAGAAGCTCTTGTTATCTGCTCTCGCTCTCTCTCTCTCTCTGTCTCTGTTGCCCAATATGTCTGGTTGCTAGACGGAGCCCAAAAAACTTGCTCTGCGAGCCCTTCTTCGCTCTTCACGCTGAGCCCACGGCTCGCAAGGTGGCTCACCATGGCCTGTGGCAGAGCCCACTTGGGGAACGGATTTGCAGTAGATTACAACGTACCATGTTGTTCTATGGTAACATAGTCTTCCTCATTCTACTTTAAGAACTTATGCTGAAGTTGAATAAGTTTGGGACCAACTACTATAATGGAGACCCTGGGTCGTCGAACCCCCCCTCATTATACGCGATAGCCCATATTCGGACCTTGAAATTTTGGGGTTTAGGGGCTTAGGGTTTAGGTCATGCATCAGGGGGCCTAGATACATGAGTGTTTCCGAAAATTCGGGTACCTTATTTTGGGGTCCTTATAATAAGGATCCTATTATTTAGGGGTACTATATTAGGGTCCCCTATTTTCGGAAACCCCCCACATTACTCCACAAAGCTCCAGAGCTCATTGGCACCCTCAGAAGGCGCCGGTACTGCAGAGAAACATGGGTGGTTGTCAAAATTATGGTCCCTTTTTGGGTCCTTACTATAATACGGCACCTATTATTTAGGGTACCCCAAAAGGGACCATAATTTTGACAACTACCCACACAGCAAAGATACGGGAACGACGGCACCGGACAAGGCATGCCATTACACGATACATCTTCTTCGGGTTTAGGGTTTAGGGTTTAGGGTTTAGGGTTTAGGGTTTAGGGTTTAGGGCTGTTGATCCAAACACCCCTCTGAACCTTCAACCACCCTCAACCCTCGCCCCTAAACTCCTAAGCCCCACCCTAAACCCTAATCCCTCAACACTAAACCCGGAATCCCAGACCCCAAACCCTAAACATTTTCCTGCTTGCCCAATGTCTTAGGTGAACTAAAGGTTGTTCTTTGGGATTCTATATGGAGTCTAGCGCCCCAATACAGGTTAGAGATTACCTACTCTACTACGTGTCAGTAAGCTTAATAAGGGCCCCTCCTATATGGGATCCCAGAATAGTTCCTTTCAGGGACCTTACATGACAAGTGTTCTTTTGAGGGATCCTGCGAGGGTTCCTTTAAGAGATTGTATCGGGGCTCCTCTACACGGAACTGCACGAGAATGTGCAGACCGCACAGAGAAACGCCGGAGCCCTACTAATTTGGAATGTGGTTTTGGGTTCCCGTATTGTCTACTCAATGCAAGGAAACCTCAAGAATACACCATTTCTAGCTACAATGAGGAATCCGAACGAATATACTGTTTGTAACATGAAAAAGCTTCTATATTAGTGCCCCCGGCCTGCCGGGCGGCAACACCACTGGACACCAGCAGTCGGAAGGTGTGAGACCTTATGGGCTTAGGGTTTAGAGCTTTCGGTTTAGGGTTTTGGGTTTAATGTAGAGTTTAAGGTGTCGAAACTTAGAGTTTAGGGTGGAGGGGTTCAGGGTTTTGGGGGTAGGGGTTTTAGATTTGGGGTACTTGGTTGAGGCTTGTTGTTCTCCTGTTAGAATGCCTTGTAGATCTACAAGGGATATGGGGTTAAGGGTGTTTTCGGGTAGGGTCTGGGGCTAGGGTTCAGGGAGGTATGAGAACTTACTTTCTCGATCCAACACATTTGGGTTTTTGTTGCAGCGGGTGCATCAGCAAGTCTTAGATTACTTCATAATGCTTGCATAAGATTTGAGGTTTTGCACCTCGGGCTGCCAGGGGCTGCAAACTTTCTCACTCTGCACCCCCCCCCCCCCCCCCC